AACAGTATACATGCATGCCTAGATGGTTGAATGCTCATTTTTGGCAGTGAGCATAATTGTAACATCCCTGCAGCTTTTTAGTAATTAAAATATCGAGAAGTGCTTTTCCAATACAAATGACTTAACTGTTTGTTCTATTCTGTTGGTCTGTTGGGCCCCATGTGGGTGGGGAAGCATTTTTCTCATAAAATTCTAAATTGGAACTTGTCCAACTATTTAATAATGTTGGTTTCAGTGTAGTCCTTTGATGTTATACAATTTTTGTTTGCTGCAGGTAAATCAGGATTCAGAAATAGAGTCGCTCTTACGTTTAGGTCGAAGTCAATTACCATACCGGAAAGTGGGATGAACGTGTGCCCTCTAGAATTCAACGAATACATCCCTTGCCATGATCTATCATATATAAGAAACTTGCTTAAAAGTTCCAAAATTTCCAGAAATGAAGAACTTGAAAGCCATTGCCCGCCTGTGGAGAAGCGCTTGTTTTGCTTGGTGCCCCCACCCGTTGACTATAAGATACCAGTTAAATGGCCAACTAGCAGGGATTATGTTTGGCGAAGTAATGTGAATCATTCCCATCTTGCTGAAGTCAAAGGAGGTCAAAACTGGGTGCATGAAAAGGGTAAACTATGGTGGTTCCCTGGAGGCGGTACTCATTTTAAGCATGGAGCTTCTGAGTACATAGAAAGGTAACTCCATTAAACATGTGATCTTTTTTAAAGAGTTGTCCGCAACAATTATTTAGCTTGTCCGAAAACACTCTAAATCATAAGCCATTAGTTCAGGAGACCTAATGTGATCATGCCTAAAGTCTTCTGGACATGAAGTTTTGATTTCAACCTAAATACTTCATTGTTGCTAGATCTCTCGTGACCATGAGAATCTCTCTTTACTTTCTTACTCTATCTGGAGATGTGTACGATCCTCATGCTCTTCGGTTTATGACATCATTGCTAGATCTCTCGTAACCATGAGAATATCTCTCTTCTGTCTTTTCTTTCTTACTCTATCTGGAGATGCCATGATCCTCATGCTTATCTGTTTGCAACATCTTGCTTTCGCCTTTTCAATATTGTTCTTCATTTTGGAAGGTGTCTTAGTAAAGTAAACTGCTTATCACTTTATTTTTCACCAACCATAGCACATACTTTGTTCCTTAGCCCTTTTACTTAAATTATCACTTTTGTACTCTTATAAGCTTCTGACATTAATTTTTCTGATGAGTTAAGGATGACAAGTATAATAACTAAGGGACATGCCAATATTTGGAATCAGGATACTTCCGGATGAGTTAGGGATGACTAGCATTATATGCCAATCTTTTGACTCAGGATGGTTTTCTCATAACGTTTCCGATTTATTGACAAATTTGCTTGTCGGGTCACTTGCATATTCACATTCGTCGACTGTCATAGTCGTAAGTTGAGGCAATTGTATTTTCTTTTTTCTTTTCCATGGTGTGGCTTTAACTTATTTTCTTCATCCTCTTCTTCTTGTCCCTGGCAGATGGGGGTTCTGGAAATTCCTTTAGTAGTCATAGCTACAGTCATAGTCCTTAGTAGTCAATCCACTATATATATGATCTACCCAGCAATCTGAGTTGAGGGATGTGACCCCCCTGGTTTCACACAAGACTGCACTTCAATGTGAACCTAAGAATGTCAAACTTACCATGCACCCACACAGTGCAACAACACGTTTCACCATCACAACAATATCTTTCTAATGGAATTAAACAATAAACAAGTGTGGGTACAAAACAGATAGGGTAAAGATGACAGTACAAAGAACATGATATATAGAAAGAGATATCCAAATAATCAAAATCATGTTCTAACTGAATAAAATGAAGAAAATCTGATAAACTGAAACAAATGTGTAATATCTCAATACATGAAGTCAAAAGAAATAGTATTAAGACACTCAACCTTTACAAAATGTAATATGACTCTAAATGTCTAAGATAAACAATAACTAATGTGGAGCGCTAATGACTACTAATAATATAAGATGGTGAGCTAAACCGTCTCTCCATTAACCTGCGACTCTCTGGACGTCTGACTCGCTGCCTGAAAAGAGAGAAAACAACGAGCGTCAAAGCGATAGCGAGATCATCTCCACCGTCCCCAGAGGGAGGGAGTTAGGAGTATATAAAAATACAGTTAGTACATACAGATATATATAAATCATCTATCCTAAACTAAGTTAAAATTGATATTTAGAAATCCACAACACGAGAATGGGTACGTCGAGCGAAATAATCCAAATAAGAAAATCCTCATGTTTATACCTCGCATCTCAAATTGTGAATCGCTAAATACCAACTCCAATTCCTAAGAATAAAACAATAAATAAAAAACAGAACAATACCAAACCTCATCCAATGTCAAACATGTAAAACATATCACACTATCCTTGGATAGGTGGCATAGTCACCAATATAACAATCCGGTAAAAGAAACTCGCATCGAATATGTCATGTATGACAACCTCAATATTATACCCTATTCCCGGGTAACTAACATGGGAGCATGAATGCAATATGTACTATCATCTAACAGAAATAACGATGCTTTTGTAAGGTGCTCACAATATCCTGTGGCATCACCACCTTACTCAATCGCCCTGCGAAAATATGCATATTACCCTATTCCGGAAAATAATGATGCACAACGGAGTATAGTCTGCTTCGGTCTTATTGTAGCATACCAACTAACCACCCCGAGTGTAGTCCCCAGCGGTCTCATTGCGGAGTGTCAACTAACCCACTTAAGCATCCACAATCATAAAATTCAATTTATGTGTCACTATCTATTATGACAAATGCAAAGCTTAGGTTACGTACTTTAAAACGCTCGTGCGTACTCAAATCAAATCCGTGTACTTCTCGTATACATCACACGTATCTTAGTGTGACTCGTACTTTGTACGTGTGATCGAAACATATGAGTAAAACACAAAGTTCACAAAAATACCCAGATCAGTCGACCGATCGCATGCCATCGATTGACTGATGCCTTGCACAAAGCGTGCACAAAAGCTTTGATCAGTCGATTGATCATCCTTGATCGGTCGATTGATCAGAGTCGAATCCAAATTCCTGTAATAATTAAACAATCTATGAAATTCGTCAAAAATCAAAATTTCTCAACAAAACTTATGTATTAAAACTTGTTTAAGGAAAATTAGGGTTTATTCTATTACATGAAATCACAAATACAAATATAGGAATAAATCTAAAACCCTAATATGTTGATATGTGTAAGATCATCATGAAACATCTAACTTAAATCAAATTTATGTTAAATCTTGTTTAAAACTTTAACTCACATCTGAAAATCCGTTTTATATCCTTTTAAAATCAAAAAGATTAGATCTTTATATCATACAGCTCAAAAAGAGTAATCTTTATGCATAATCTAGGCTTACAAGATCCAATAAAACTAGATAAAAAAAATTTAAAAACAGGGGATAGGTTTGGAGGAGATGAAACCCGCCTCAAAACGTGCTGGACTCCCCAAATATGCAAGACACAATCCTCCTTCGTCAAACGCTGAGAATCTCACCATCTTCTAGGGTTAGCTTCACAAAGCTCTCAAAATTCACCAAAATAAGATCTAGGGTTTTGAGGGGAGAGAGTGACTGTTTATTCACGTGAAAGATGGAGGAAAAACAGATAAATATCATATATATACACTTATATACGCAAACGGGCCGAACCAAAACGAAACATACCCGAAACCAAAACCTACACAGAATCTGGCACCCGTCAGTCGGCTGATGTCTTGCCATCAGTTGACTGATGAGCTCCTATCAGTC